ATACATTTTTAAAATTACAATATCAAGATCTAGGAGACATTACCACAGATTTCACAGAATTTAAAAGGATATAGAAAGCATATTACAAAAATCTGTTTTGAAATAAATTTGACAACTTCTACGAAGTACCTTGGAAGAAAAATTAATGAAACTAACTCCGGAGAAAATATAAAATTTGAATAGCACCTATTAAAGAAAGTATATTCTGGGCCAGGGATTTAGCTCAGTGGTTCTGGTGCCTCCCTCGAAAGCTCAAGGTCCTGAGTTCAATCCTCGGTACGGAAAAAAAAAAATGAAAGAAAGTATATTCCTAGCTTGAAAACCTACCTATATGACAACAACAGGCTCATATACATTTTAACTGATAACTTATATCAAAAATTTAAAGCAGGGCTGGGGATTTAGTTCAGCGGTTTTGCCGCTTGCTGCACAAGCGCAAGGACCCGAGTTCAATCCCAGGTACCATTAAAAAAAAAAAAAAAAAAAAATTTAAAGCAAAAATGTATTTATTTTAAGAAGTTTTACTCAACTGTTCTTCTGTTGTGTGTCTTCTCCAGAGACTCTTATTCTTCCTTTCCACATGTTACAATGAAATATTCCAGAATTAATCCTCCTGGGTTACCTTCAGTGACAATTATTAAAAATATAACATGTTGAAAATGAGTCTTCATGTGAAGTTTCTCCTATCACTGACTCAACGTTGTACATGACATAATTGATTAGCCATTCAGGGCCTCTTTGGCTACAGAAAAAATTTAATTTAAAAAGTAAGATCTGTGTATTGATACGAAAATGTTTTCATAACAAAAAGGCTGAAGAATGTGCTAAATACCTCACTCCTACAGATGCAAGGCAGTAGAGGCACCGTCCTTCTCCCCCGTTCTGAGAGCACCTGCTCCCGTTTGACCTCAGTGGACTGGAGCAGGGAGGGGACACAGGGAGGTGCTCTCCAACGCGCCAAGCAGTGGCCACGAGAGTGGACAGCGCGAGGGGGTGTGTAACAGTGCCCGTCACATGGTGGACAACCCGGGTTTGGGATGCGACATAGAGCAGGGTTGATACTCAGTAATCGGAGAGCATAGCGCTGTGCTAAGAAACCAGAAACCCGCTCTGGCAAGTCTGGTTGCTTCCTTTCTCGTCCCAGTTTTCCAAGAACCTGTTCTTCCCCAGCACTGAAGTTCCCGACAGCATTTGCCGAATTGACATGATGAAATGACTAAAACGGGAACTTTAAATTCTATCCTTTTTTGTCCGGGCACAGGTTGCTTATAGAATTCTATGAGTCTCCCGATCCAGAAAGAAGAAACAAGTTTCCCGGGAGAAGTGTCGATTCCCAGCTAAGTCTCAGGAAGACTCTGCCGTCGGTGCTGCTCCTGAGTGGCCTGACGGCCGGGCTGCTGGTGACGGAGGCCGGGAGGAAACTGTACGTGAGCGCATGCGTCTGCGGGACGCTCTTCGGCTGCCTGTGGGTCTCCGTCCGGGCCTAAGAGGCACCGTCCCCTTGTGCACTGTGCGACGTGGTCCCTCCGATGGCTGCAGGAGACATCCAGCTGCTTTCTGAATTTAGCAAGAAGTGTAAATAAAGCCTTGCTGATGGAACATTGGAGAAAACGGAATTTATGCAAAACCCAGTATCTGCCTGATCTTGGGAGGCACACATTGTCTTTCAGCGTTCGTACAGGAGCTACCGAAGAGGTCAGCACTGGTGGAGTTTACGCTCTTCGTTACACGTCCCATGAACTCACGTCACCTTATCACAACCGTTAGGACTGTAACTCGCTATTGCTTTATGATTCAGATGGCTATACTTTAACATGATTGTGCAGTGTATCTCATTATATTTGTTATTTTCAATGTTTGACAACTTGGCAGTTCCACACTCTTACCACTGAAGTGTTTAGGGTCTCGCTGTGTAATACTTGGCCTTGTGTTCAGTGTCCTCGAGTCAGTGAAGGAGATTGCATTCAGATACCAAGATACCCGAGGGGAAGGCAGGAAGTGTCGGGCTCGAAGCTCTGTTCAGTGTGTGTTCTTACTGTATTGCCTTGTTACCTGATTTCAGATTTGCAAAATAATTAACATTAATATTTCTTGAAATCACTTAATTTGCCTACCCTGTAGTCTACACAAAAGAACAAGGCAGAAAATGTCAAAATGAAGTTTAAGGGCCGGGGATTTATCTCTGGTTCCGCTGCCTGCCTCTCAAGCACAAGGACTGGACTTCAATCCCCGGTACCAAAAAAAAATGAAGTTTAAGTTAAAATTGTGACTGATTCATTGCATCAGAACTGATGCATTGCCCAGCTTTTGAAGGCTTAAAGTGTGCTGTCGGTAATTCCCATCTGTGCCATACGTGCTTAGAACATTAAGGTGTCCCGTTATCTTTTGTACCAAAATCATTGGCGAGAGCCTTTCTGTCGGGCCCTCAGCCCGCAGATGGCCAGGTGGTGGGAGCCCGCAGGCGTTCTAACCAGATTTGCTAGCATGTGCCTTGTGCCTCTCTGATTTCAGCGGCACATCTGACCTGGAGGTCATCTGTGTGCCGTCCTGGTAGCTCCTGAGCTCTGTGCTCCTCCCGCTTCCCTCTGTGCTGTGCAGTGGGAGGGGTGCAGAAACGGCCACAATCGCCTGGGTCCGAGTTGCTCTCCTCCAGCTCTCAGAAGCGTCTTGCCTTCCTCCCCGCCGAGTGCTCACCTTCCTCCAGCCAGCGAAACTCAGGTGTAATGCACCTGCACCGGCGCCCGCTGAGGGGCTCGCTCATTTCCCTGTCCCAGGGGCGCTGCACCGCGACCCGCTCACCTGACACCAGCCTTGCACAGACCCACACCGGTTCCAGCCAGGAAGCCGCATCCCACGGAGGAAGCAGGCCTGAAGACTGGTCTGCCCTGCTTTGTAGCAGAGGAAGCATGGCTGTCTGCAGGCCTGTGTAAGAGCATTTCTGCCTGCTACTACTTAGGGTGTTCTGTGGGGGTTGTTTGCAAAATTATACCAGTGACCCAGATGAAATGCACCAATTGGCTCATAAAGAAAATGAAAAAAGTAATTGAAGGAAATTGTGTCTGACTGTTACATTGCTCTTCCCAAGCCAGAGAATAAGCCATCTGTCGCCGTTCCCTTGGAGAGCCTATGCTGCGAGTTGGTTTCGGCGTTGCCATGTCTATTATAGCCACCTGTTCCAGAGACAGTTAGCCTAACTACGGATGGGAGCAGAGGTCAAACTTGTTAAAAGTGCTCTCATGACAAAGTGTAATTTTCTCTTTCCTGTAAAGTGAAATTTAAATCAACCCAATGTCTTTGTTGAATATATTTGGGGGGTGGTACCGGGGATTGAACTCAGGACAGGCAGGTGCTGTGCCGCTGAGCTACATTCTCGACCCTAAATACATTTTTTAGCAGTGCTACATTTAGAGCTTATTTCTGACAAGATCCAAGTAAATGAGATACTTCAAATATCATGGTTATGCTCCAGTTTTGAATTCTGAGAAGCAGTATCATTGGAATTGCACAGATCATAACTGGTTCTAACAAGGCAAAGAGGCCAGCACCCGCCTGCGGCCACTCAAACACTTTCTCGGGTCCATGCACATGTCACGAAAGGTTTATAAACTGTGGCAGTGGGAAAAAATTTTGTATTAAAACAAAGCCTGTCTTTTATGTGTTGATTTTGACTTGAATTGCCCATTTTCTAAAATTAAAATCTCTGCCTACCTGCAAATCTTTTCACACAATATCATTTAAGCTTTTGTTTGTATTATTTTTATTGATTCACAGCTTAATTATATTCAGCTTTTCTTTATAAGACTTGCCATCAATGTGCATGTTTGTGTTTTCCAGAAAAGGGCGTATTTGGAGGGAAGCAAAAAAATAAAATCTTTCAAAGTCTCTGAGTCTATGCTGTTTAACATTTTGTGACCCAAATATTAACCAACAGTTTTCTGGTACATAACAGACTTAGTGATTGGCCCTGTATTCTGAATCTATAATGCAATATATATTTTAAAGTGTTGAATGAACTTTTTTAAAAAGCTACTTTGAAATGCAACAGAATAATGAAGCAGCCTAACTGTTTAGCTGCACGAGCGTTCTGTGTAGATGACACACCATGTGGCCCATGTTACTTGCTTGGAGAATCTGTCCATGAGATGGTCTCCGAGAAACATGCCGGATGCCTCAAGTTGCCCTTGCCGTGGAACAAGTGCCAGTCGGGCTGCTGCTTACACTCTGGGTTTCTCTCCACTCCGGTTTCCTTCTCATGTGATCTCTTTTTCATGAGCAGTACCAGTTTTCCTTTATAAGGATTACATAAATAGTTTTTACTCTAATAGACATGGTTTATATTTGCATTTCCTGAGTGGGACTGTGTTAAATGTACAAACCGGATTGACCACTCACAAAAAAATAGAATTCGTTTGCCAAACTGTAGATACAAAGTAACTTCTAGATGTAGACCAGACCCACATTTGAGAAGACAGAAATATCAAAATAATTTTTTGTGTGTACAATTGTAAATGTAACGAAAATTAATTTAACCTTACTAATATTTGTTTTTTAATTATTTAGACTGAAGTTGGAGTAAAACATTTTCTGGGCACATATTCCAGATACTAACTTGCATGAAGTTATATGTCTTCAGAAGCAGATTTTTCTCCGTCTTAGGCAAGTTTTTATTAATGATACTTTTTTTTCTTTGTGGTACTGGGGATCCAACTCGGGTCCTTGAGCTTGCGCAGCCGGCGGTGAAACCACTGAGCTAAATCCCTGGCCCATTAATGACACTTTTTAAGATTAAAGATTGTTGGGCCAGGGATTTAGCTCAGCGGCTCGGCGCCTGCCTTGGCAAGCACAAGGTCCTGAGTTCAATCCCTGGTACCAAACAAAACAAAAAGATTGTTACAAATCTGTTACCATTTAGTATAATATTGTATACAGTCTAGACAACACCCAAGCCTCAAGATGAAAATTAGTACTTTGGTCAAACAGGTATTTGGAAAGTTGAGATAACTGATATTATATAGGAAAAAACCTACTGACTGAATTTTAAGCTTGATTCAAACATTACACATTTTTATATAGATAATTCAGAAGTCATGACTAAGACATTGTCACCAGGGTTTCATTTGGCATCTTGTTGAGTTTGTGTGTGGAGGTTGGAAAGTCATACATAGAGCAGTGAGAGTCAGCTTCTCGTGGCCCTAAGCAAATCCCTGAGAAGCAGCTGAAGGGAGAGGAGGTGCACTTGGGTCGGGTCTCAGAGGTTGCAGTCCACAGCTGTACCGCTGCTGTGGCTGAGCTGAGCAGGCGCCGTGGCGGAAGGGCCAGAGAGCAGGAGCCAGGGACAACACTAACAGGGTCGAGCCCCTGTGACCCCTTCATTCGGCCTTCTGCCCTCCCGGGGAGCCCTGGGCTGTGGTAGGGTCCACCAGGCCTTCCACGCGGGGCTTTAGGAGGTGACTGGATCTCGGGCTCGGCGGACCTGCTGACGGGAGGTGGCCTGGTCAGGAGCGCTGCAGGGTGCGTCGCCCGTCTCCCACACGCCTCCCTTCTCCGCTCCGCCTAGGAGAGGAGCGCTCTTCTCCACGCTGCCTTGGTGCCTGCAGACTGACCTGGGGCCTCCACGAACTGTGAGCCACATACACCTCCCCTTTACCTTGGTGTCGGGTATTTTTGTCCCAGTGAGAAAAGAGTGGAAAGTAAGGAGACGCCATCAGATTATTACCTCATCCATGGCTGAATCCACTGGAAGTTGGAGAACGTGTGGTCCAGTCACCTCTGAACACAGCTGCCTTGGTGACCAAGCCTCTGCATGACCTGGGGACATCGCAGACTGAAGCACAACAGCAGCCTTGGCGGAGCACACAGACACACGCGTCTGGTCGCGTGTGTGTGTGTGTATGTGTGTGTATGATTTAATAATAGCCAGCTATTATCCTACACCAAAAAGTTATTTTGAAGAAAACTGTTCCATAGACTGCGGAATTAGCTCAGTGGTTCCGGCGCCTGCCTCGAAAACACAAGGTCCCGAGTTCGATCCCCAGTACCAAAAAAAAAAAGAAAACCGTTCCAAAGAAAACCTCCAGTACCTCTGCTGTGCTGAAGGAAATCTGATAATGGCACAAACTCAGTCAATGTTTGTTGATGCTGCAGTCAGCAAGGAGGAGCCTGGTCAGTTTTTCCATCCAAATTATTGTTTCGTTTGTGATTTTCCATGTGAATATATGAAAGGTATGCTCTACAGTATTATAAATCTTCATATCTAAAAAATAATAAAGGTGCTACTGACTGTCTCTGTCCATACTTCACTAATTTATCTTGTTTTCTCATGGTATTTTCAGAATAAATTCTAATTTAATATTTCAGGGTTTATCGGTGCTTCGTTAATTCAGCATTTGGGAAGATATGAAATTCCAAAGTCATTTGGTGGGAAAAGATCTATTCCGCGTTGCTATATTGCGTATGTGACAAGATGTATGTGAGTCGCCGCGCACGGTTCGAGTGCCCGTGGAGACCTGCCGCTCCATGCCGCCAGGACCAGGCTACGCAGCGTCTGTGGCCAGCGCTGTCTAACATCGTGGCAACCATGCCTAGCAGCAGCCTGGCCTGACCCAGTGCGTTATGCAGGCGAAGTGCTGTGTGTCAGCGCAGACACCCGCCGGGCCAGCCAAGTGAATCTGCTGAGCAACCAGGCTCCAGCCTGGATTTGCATAAAATCCCTGAAGGAACGGCTCTTGTTAACATGCTGTTGCTTTTCTGTTTGTCAGAGACATATGCAGTATCTCGCGACAGTTAGGCGCCTTTACCAGCAGATGGCATAACCTAGTGCAGATTACAGGTTTGTTTAAAATCTGGGCCACGCAGTGTGATTACAAAGCCTCTCATGATCTCTCCCGACCCTGGGCGCCTCAGTGCTGACCAGGACAGCCCTGTCCTCTCCTGCCCATTGGCAGCAAATGTAGCAGTCATGGAGGACTCAGATCTTTCCGCGAAGTGATGCTTGAAGTCACCCCTCCAAGAAGCCGCAGGCCGGATCCCGAGGTACAGGCTGGTGCTGCGTCACTCCACGCCGCCTTCCTTCGTCTGCAAACCAGTGAGACATTCATCGTCCTCACGGGTCAGTGTGCTGACTGCTAGAGGCTGAGACCCTGGGTGTAAGGTTACCCACCAATGGGAGAGACTACGGTTCTTCCTACATCACTTCAGCTTTTCTTGCTGTGCCTCAGTGGGCGAGGGGATAACTGACCGTCACTTTCGGGTGTTTGTTAAAGACCCTCCTGGTCACCAGCACCATTCATGCTGGTTTGCTGCACGCACGCAGGCTCACTTTCCACAGGGGCCAGCAGCCGGCGGTTTCCTGGTCATGTCAGGGCCAAGGCCCCGGGCTCACTGGTGCGGGTCCCCACTTCGTCCCTCCTCTCCTGCACCCTCCCTCGGAGGACTTTCCAGTCCACTGCAGAAAAGATGGCGGAGACTCGCCCATCCCGCCACCAGCCCCGTCCGAGGAGTCATCTCGGCCTGTAAAAGCAGAGGCAGGAACCTGCTTTATTCAAAGGACAGATGTGCTCAGACTCTTGAGGAGCCCTTTCCAATTAGATACCAGTGGCAGAGATGTAAAGCTGTAGGACGATTCCGGGTCAAACTGGTGTGCAGCAAATGGGAAGAGACGGGAGCATGTGTCTCGGACCCTAGAAAACGTCTGTAGGATAGAACCATTTAGGGTTTTTACTGTGATTGTGTTGCTTGCTTGTTTGGATTGATTTGGTTTCTCTCTGAACACTTCTCGGTGTGGAACTGATAAACTCTGACCTTTAGTAGAAGAAAATCGGGCAGAATAACACAGCTGCTGTCCCTTTCTAAGACTCCCGGAGCGGTAGGGTGTGTTCTGAATCTGCGCCCGAAGTGTGCATTCGCCTCGCAGCTGCCCATCAGACGCCGGCTCGGTGTTGGGAGTGGGCCGGGTCGCTTGTTTCCAGGGACCCCGCTGTGGTGTGAAGAAAGCCAGGCGGTCACCTCCCTCATGATGCTCAGGTGGAGCAGAGCGGGCATCGAGCTCGGGTCCGCGTGGTGCCACCTGCTGTGGGGAGCCCCTCTGCTCTCTGAGGCGCGTGGCTCACAGGGTGACCCGACTGGGGGCCACTGTGTCTCTAGGTATGCTGACTCCTGACCACAGCGAGTCTTCGGCCTGTTGGCTTTCCTGTCTCCTGTTTGTGAAGATGCCGGGGGACTGGCAGGGGCCAGCACGGGTTCAGGAGCCTGGCCACGGTCCCCAGGTCATGCCCCAGCCAGCTGCGGGACCTGGTCAGAGCTCTGCTCCCTGTGCTTCCGTTCCCTTGACTACAGAGAGGAGGTGAGGACGATCGTACCAACCTCCTAGGGCTGCCACCCAAGGTACTCGGCAGGGCCTGCTCCTTCTGAGCGCTCGCTTGTTAGCTGTTGTCCCTGCGCTAACAACTGTGTGCTGCCGAGGGGCACCTGGCCCCGCCCGCTGCCCGGAGGTGCCCTGGGAAGCGTGGCAACTGAGCTAGCCCCAGGTCCGCTATCTTGTGCCTTCGGCCGTGAGCCTGTTGCTCCGCTCACATGTGTGCCAAGAGAGGATCCTGCCTTGCCCTGGAGCTGGGCACATCTTTGATTGAGCTGTTTGTTATGTTGTCCAACGTGGCCGGCTCTGCCAGGGGACGGGGACACAGAGGGCTGAGCGGGAGGAGGCCACGTTCTCTCCAGGCGGCAGTGACCCTCCTTGTCCCCAGTGGCTTTCCTCCCCGGCCAGGACGCTGAGGCCTCGGCCATGCGCCAGCTCCGGACGCTGCCCAGGGGCCAAGGACGCTCGCCCGAGCAGACGGGACAGACGGGCAGCCCGTCCACCCGAAGCCACAGGAGCCTGCGCCTCTGACCC